GTGTGGAAACTACCTCGATGACCTCATCGTTGCGTCAACGACTCTACAGGAACCTATACAATGACTAGATCAGGTTTTTTCGAATCTTAAAAAGTATGGCATCAGGTGCAAATGGAACAAATGCAGTTTTTTTCAAAATCACATTGATTACTTAGGAAGGCATATAAGCGCAGAAGGCATTTTGCCAGAACCATCAGGAGTAACAGCCGTTCAAAACTTAAAACGCCCTGAAAATCTCAAAGAAGTGAAAGGTCTAATGGGTAAGATAAACTATTATTATAACTACATTCCAAACATTCTAAAAATATTCGTTTTAATTGGACACACATACATGAAGAGGAGAAGAGTTCAAGTCTTTATAGAAGCATAAAGTGAACGCTACACATTTTCAGGAGCACTTACCGATAATTCTCGCTACAAACGCTTCGTCATCGGGTATTGGTGCAGTAATTTCGCATATCTTCGAAGACGGCAGCGAACGCCCAATTGTATTCGCAACAAAGACATTCAACGTTCATCAAGTAAGGTACAGTCAAATAGAAAAGGAGGGGCTTGCGATTGTATTTGGCGTTCAAAAGTTTCACCAATACTTGTATGGCCATAATTTCACTCTAATCACCGACCACAAACCAAACTTTAATCTAGAAAAACACTTGCCAACAACAATTTCAAATAGACTACAACGGTGCGCAATAATTCTTTCAAGACTACCCGAAGGCCCAAATTACAGCTTTGATCAAGAAAACAATTGTTTTGCTGTCGAAGAGCTGGATACCTCAATTGATGCAGAGGTTATCCGATTTCATACAAAGAGGGATATAACTCTCATGAAAGCTCACCGTTTCATACAACAAGGGTGGCCTAAATCTATAAGACCACAACAGGCATATATACCACCATATTTCCAACGTAATACTTCTTTAGTTATTATTGATAACATTCTTTGCTTACAGGGCCATTTAAATCAAGTTATAATTCCCAAAAAATTACGCCCTTGAACTGTTGCACGAAAGCCACTGGGGCGTAGTTCGAATGAAACAATTAGCTCGAAGATACTGCTGGTGGCCGGGCATCGACAAAAATATCGAAACACTCGCATCGTCACGCAACGTGTGTAAAACAATGTCAGCCATTCCAGCAGAGAAATTTAGCTCATGACCCGAAGCTCAACGTCAGTGGCAACGCGTCCACATCGACTTTGGCGTATTCAATCAGCATATGTGACTTGTACGTGTCGACACATTCTCACAGTATCCGTACATTGTCCAACTGTTAAATACAACCTCTACAGATACAATAAAGGTGTTAACACCAATTTTTGCCATTGAGCGGTTACCGGAAACGTTAGTAAGTGACAACGGTCCGCAACTTACATCCTCACAGTATAAGGAAGTTTGCTTGAAAAATGGCATTCAACATGTCACGACAGCGCCATTTCAACCGGTTTCAAATAGCTTAGGAGAGCGTTTTGTGTGTACTTTTAAGACATCTTTGAAGTAAAACCTTGAAGCAGTTGTCAAATTTTTGGGTTCGTGTTCTCAATGAACAGGGTATGGTCATGCGCAAAACATCAGCCTATGCCTTACCAAGACCATGGTGCGTGGTACTTTCTCACACCCTTCCCGAGGTTAAACTGTTTATAGTTGATAACTTTATTGACTTAACAGAACATTATGGATCTAGAGAGGAAAACTCCATAAAACCCGTAATCTCCGGTGTTATTCGACCCGTACCGATGAGATGAATGGCACTACGTTAATGTGTCTCTAAACAGAGACCTCCGGATAACTGGCGCCCTCAGGTTGTAACATAGCCTTGTCCGGGTATAGCGGATCTCTGCCCGGATCGACTTTCCTTTCTCCGCAACTCGTGGGTTTAAAATATGAACCAAAAAAATAATAATACACAAAAATCAAGCTCGGTTAAACCAAGCTCTTTTGGAACTGCTAGTTCCAAGGTACCTACCGCAAGTTCTAGCGGTAATAACAGAGTACCTCTTAATTAACCAGTGTAATTATCAATTTTTTCTGCCCTTTTGTCAAAACAAAATTGATCTTACAGTTTCTTAATATGTATTTTTCATATTCATCTTTGATAAATAAATAAAAAAATATTAAACACTGGCAGCCAAACACATTTATAAAAAAAATCAAAACGAAAATAACAACGAGAGAAATGACATTTTGTGTGTTTACATTTTCGTTTTCGCCAAAGCTGAGAGTGCAGCTTAAAATCGCAAGGTGAGAAAAGAGAAAGAACGCTGGAAGTAAAACAACCGAACATCTGGTGAGGGGAAACATTGAGTTGATGCACCGAAAAAAAACGGCTAACTGGAGGGTGTACTGCAAGCAGTGATAAAAAAAAAATGAAATAAAAGCGGGAGTCGGAAAAAAAACAGTTTTATGTCGCTGGGGAGTCTCGTAGCTTTTTTTAAGATGTATGGTTGATCTTCGCGGCGGACTCGGGATAAAGAAAATAAAAAGTGAACGACAAACGTGATGAAAGAAAAAATTTAAATAGTGAAAATTTACGGGTGAAACTATAACTTAAAATAGAGTTTAAATAAACTAAAATAAATTCGATATAATTTAAACAATTAAAACTTAACAGAAAGAAATTTACTAGCTAGAATGCGAAAATTACTATAAGATTATTAAAAGAAAACATTTAAATAAATTAATTAAATCAAGTGATTAGTTGGTGACTGCAAACCATGTATGTTCAGAATAATATTTGCTCAACACCGAAGAAGAAAACTCTGAATTAAAGGGAAAAACCCAACTGAAGGACGTTGGCCAGTGATATCTAAACGGTTGGTTAACTTCAAATATTGTTAACGGCCAGCGACAGTAAAAAATTCCACAGCATGTTTTATATTATGTATATATTATATCAATGTCATTTTTTTTATATAATTAATTGAATTTGGTATATATAAATACTGTAATGTTATATCTTTATCGGAAATAAAAGACGCGTCGCTTTCAGTGTTCGTAGAAGACTGTTTTTATTAATTTCTTCATTCTTAAATCTAACATTGTTTCTTAATACTAATTTCCAATAAAATCTTGTGTACTGATTCTATTGGTTAATACTTATAATACTTGCGTCTAATTGGTTAACCAAAATTAGACATATATAATATTCTTACAAAAATATCTTATCGATAAATGGTATTATATTTACTAATGCAAGTGTTCTACATATGGTTTTACTTGAAACCGTTTATTCTATTGACACAGTTTTGACTTATGCATATTGCATATATGGTGCAATGTGCGGCTCAGTTATTTGTCATCAAAATAATGACAAAATAAAGGCTCATATTACCTGACAATAGTTTTTTTTTTTTTTTTTTTTTTTTTTAACTTCATTTTATTAAATACAATCTATTCTATTCATTCATGAATAATAAGTATTACTTATGGCAATAACAATATACGATTGACATGTACGGGACTACCCAGTGGTAATCACCGCCTTATGAAGAATTACAATTTCTAGAATCTGCTCGGCAAATCCGAAGTTGCGAAGCGTATTAATCTACGAATGTTAAAAGTATCCCTCGTTAGCCCTGCGGCAAGGGGGTTAGGATGAACTACCAGTCGTGAGTGATAGTTGCTGCTCAACTATATTAATTTTATTCATATTTCTGTAAATAATAATAAACTAATAAATTAGCTACAAATTTATATCGAAGAGCAAGATCTAACTAAATTTTTATTAATTTATATCTAATCCCAGAGATCTGACAAAATATGGAAACAATAATGTATCTTACAAATAAATTACAAGAATCTTATACGTTACCCGGATATAATCATAAATTAGAGGACTTTCGAGTGCATCCACTTGATTTTATTAATTTTATATTATACTGATAAAGTACGTTCGTTTCTTGATGAATTCAGAAACATTCGCTGTTGCTACTAATGTTTTCTTTAGAGCGTATGTTGTACTGTAACAACATTATATGCTGTCCACAAGTGTAGAAGGCACCAAGGAAATCATTTTCCTTTAATGGCTGCCACAACAATTTGATTTGCACAGCAATCGACGAGTACGAGTTTTTGCAACAGAACTTAAAAAACATGGCCTAGCAGAACGGCTCTGGGAATACCGATACTTTTGATTGCTAATATATGAACTACGAAAAAATTCCCAGTTTGCATTAAAAAGAGGAATTTTAAAAAAATGCCTAGAATTTGGGGGAAAAATTGGTTTTGACATATAAAGTTTTTCTTGGGGTGTTCCTGTTCGCGGTTGTCGAGAAGCTCGATTATTTTTAGTCGGAGAGGCAGAGTAGCGAGAAGTCGATTTCAATGTTGTGATCTCTAGTGCCATTCAATGCGCAACTGTCGCTGGAAATTATGTAAAAATCACAACAACAACGATGACGGCAATGACAGTAGTGGCAGCAGCAGTGGCAGCAGCAGTGGCAGCAGCAGTGGCAGATGCAATTGCAATTGTGACTGAGCCTGGAACTTGCAATGTTTAATGGTTGAACAATTTTTAATGGTTCAGAGCTGCAGTTTCGTGAATGTTGTTGTTGTTGCATTGCTATTGCATGCAACACATGCCAAACTCATTTAAACTATTTTTAACGAAATTTTCAAGTTTTTTAATCGTATCTTCACATTTTCCAGTGCAACAGATGCAAATGGCACATTTTTGGACTGCAATTGACACGCGCACAGGATGCAAGAGATTCTTTTTCTGAACTTTTTTCGAATCTATTCTGACTATGTCATTGTTTATGCTTCTTTATCGTTGTGCGTTAGTTGTGGCATTTATTTTTGTTCTCTCGAAGGTTGATGGCGATCTAAAATAGTTTGAAATGAAATGGCATTAGTATTATTAGAAAAACCGGAAGGAAGTGCCAGTGTTATGCAGGCAATGCGGAATTTTTTGTTTTAATAAAGTAAGAAAACAATATCTAACAATATGAAGGGTTCATTATTAAGACAAGTGGTTTGGTTTTATGATTGCTACTGAGGCACTTAATATTTCCTTTGTCTTTCTACATTTTCACCGCCAATGGTCTTAGGTAGTGCGGCGCCTAGTTTGCGGTTGCTAGTTTTGAAGCTAATTTTGAAGAAAAAACAAGTTCTGAATGTTCAAATTATTGTTACATACCATGTATTCATCTATACCCACATATGTATTTATAAAAATGTTATTTTATTTCAAAATCTTAGTTCATAGTAGGTGCTTAAAATTATATTC